GGAGTTCCGGCTGGCTCCTGAGTTGGCCACACCCAGCAGGAACTCATTAGCATAACAGGCCACACCCAACAGCAGAAACTCATTAGGATTGGCTACATTAGGGGTGTGTGGCCCAACATGCAAAGGAGTCCCTGCTACAAAAAAAAGCCCTGGGTTTTGACAACAAACAAGGTAAACAGAATAACAAGCGAATGGTGGGTGTGGCTGGAAAACCACACTTCTGGTAATGTGGGGGTGTGGCCTATTATGCTAATGAGTTCCTGCTGGGCTTTTTCTACAAAAAGAGCCGTGAATGTACTGCTCTGTTTCATTCTGACTTGCTCTCAAAGAATTCTACTTCTTCTGCACCAGTAACTTGAGGCTCCCTTCAGCTGTTGCTCATGTGAACAGAAGGACACAAGCGGTATGATGATGGTTAGCCACCCTCCTTTACCCAGTCAAGAATCCCAATTCTTATGCCTTATTTATGAGAGAAACATGACAATTTTGGTCCTTGTCCTTAGCTGTGCGAAAACCCAAACACCAGATGATCCCCTGTTTGCCAACTGTAGGTTGACCTTTCCCACTATTAGGACAAGGGGCACTCTTTAAAACTAGGCTTTCAAAATGAAGTTGGGCTTGTTCTGTTTCTCTTTCTCTGCAAGGTTTTCGCTTCTGCAGTCCCAAGTGTCCACAGACAGTGCCTGCTCTCACAGGGAAGAAGGGAAGAGCAAGAAGTTGGCGTGCTTTCTCCAAGCAATGATCTGTGTCTTCCGTTCGTGGCAGTGACATTAAACAGAAATGTCCTCAAAAAATGGACATTTGAAGTAGCTGCAGCCTGTAGCTTCAAGCTTACCATAGCCCAGAAATAGTATGCCATCTTGTGCCGATTTTGAAGTACTGCCCATAAAAATAAATCTCTCCAAGGATTTTCACTTTTCTGATTCATATCCAAAGGGCCAGGTAACCTTTTGGCATGTGACTTATCCTAAAGAAGCAGACAACAACACAACCTCATACCTGGAATCTGCATAAATGGATCTTTCGGTATGCACGTAAGCACCGCATAAAGTGTGCACAAAGTAAGCATTGAGTAACTGCATAAAGTAAGCACTGCATAAAGTGTGCAAAAATTAAGCACTGGATAACTCCTGTAAGACGGAGCTCTTCCGCCAGGCTTTCGAATAGGAGCCGCCGCTGCCACCACCACCAACGGGGGACTGCAAAACAGTACCGCTGGGTTGGGCCGTTCTGGCCGTCTGAACATCCCCACAGCATCCCCCTCGTTGACCCCTATGTGGTGAGCAATAGGGAGCGAGTATGGTAGTCGCGATGGATCCTTGGGAGTTGCTTACTGTGTTTTAACTGTTTTAACTGTATTTTATTGCACTGTGTGCCTTAATTGTTTTAACTGTGGTGTTGTATTACACCTCGTGTTGTAAGCCGCCCTGAGCCTGCGTGCGGGGAGGGCGGGATATAAACGAAATAAAATAAATAAATTAAATAAATAAAGTAAGCACTGCATAAAGTGTGCACAAAGTAAGCACTGGATAACTGCATAAAGTAAGCACTGCACATAAAGTGTGCAAAAAGTAAGCACTGGATAACTGCAGTGCCTCAGCAGGCACTGGATAACTGCAGGGCAGTGTTCTTGGTCCCATGCAGTTGCTACATATAATTGAAAGTCCTCTAAAATAATAGATGTCCTTTTAATTAGGGAACACTTGGTGGCCCCCAGATATCTGTATGTTTTATGTTCTCTTTTATATTAAGACCTACAAAACAGACAGTTTTTATCCCTGCATAATATTTGAATGGGTTTTTTTGTTCTACACCTATTGCGATAAGATTTGAGTTATGCCCATGACTGTGCAAATCTGAAAACCAAAGAACTACCAGCTCCTTTTACTAAGCCTGTTAGATCAGGGGAAGGAGACAGAACCATGAGATAATTTATTCACTGTCACTGCTGAATTAAAGGGTTGCTATATCCTGGATACAAACTAATAGGTATGAGAACATTCTGTATGAGATATTGTACAAAGAAGCTGCAATTAACTATATGACCCAGCTTCCTCTTACATTGGGTTCTATTTAATGTTGGCAAAAAGAGGGCACTTTCCCACAGACTTGTAATTAATAATGTTTCATTAAAATTCAAGCAAGTCTTCACAACACCCAGTATTCAAAAGGTAGGGATATATTCCCAGAAAACAACTGTTCAACCCTTTTACTAATTTTCCATGTTTATACAGGGAAAATATGTATCTATGCACTTGGATTCTTCATGTTGATTCAAAAGTTACTCTTATATCTAAACATATATTTTTTTAGAAAAACAGGACCACAACGAGACAGGACAGTGATGAGGAAGGGGACAGTCCTCTGCATTTTGCCTTTATAAGAAACTAGCCTGCTACCCGTGCTTCGCTACGGTATTTAAGTTCTGTAAATCCAGTTATAATACTGATGATGTGAAGTCTGGAATGTGACATTTGTTGTAGGAATTCTAATGGAGAAGATTGTAGTGTAAGAAATGAAGTGAGACATACATACTTTTTTCTCTCTACTGAAGGACCTCTCTCTAGACCACATTGATGGTTCTGCCCTCAGGTGCTAGGATCACCAGGCTGCTTGGTGAGCTCACTCCGGAGTCCATTTATGAAGCAGCCGTCTGTTAAGTCCACTCCTGCTACCTTCCATGAAAGTGATGGCCTTTCTACTTGTGTTCCTGGATTGTTTTGCTCATATGGAGACTGTGTTGTTCTAAGCACCTCAGGGTGATCTTGCTGGTACTTGGCCTGTGCAGCTCAGTGCACTGCAGGAGTACTATATGCAAATGTCTTTGCCACATTCCTAAGTTGCCTCCTCCTTGTAGCATTGGTGTATCTGGCTCAATGTTTGCCAGGTGCTTTTGGAGGGCAGTAAGTGGTGAGAGGTGTGAGGGGGAGTTGGTGTGAGGGAGTGGTGATGTGGTGGATATTTCTTCAGGTTCATGAGGGAGGCATGCATTGAAATGGCTCCTAGAAATGTCCTTTACTATCTCCCCATAAACATTCATACCTTGGCCCTGCTCCTACACCTGACAGACACCGGCCTGCCTGGTGTTGGGGGGGATTGTATTTAAAGGCATTGGGGAGGCTGGGCCAGCAGCAGTGCTAAGGCAATCCTGCTGACCAAACCTCCCCGGCGGCTGTAAGCATCCCACCTCCTCTCCTACACCTGACAGGCAGCTGCCTGTCCAGTGTAGGAGGGGGAAGGGGGAGGAGTATTAGAAGCCATGGTGGAGGTGGGGCTGCCAGGATCACTAAGGCGCTATGGCTGGGGCAGGCTCCCTCATGGCTTTAAACACCCTGCAACACCCTGCA